TTTTTTGTTGAATGATTACACTCAACCAACTTCTCTGTAGAATTTATAATAATGATGTGTTCTAAGCACTTCTTTAGATATACTCTTCACAGATACATAATGATAAAGATATTCCATTCTTAGAGGCAACAATCTGAAACACACAGTTCTTTTAATGAACATATGTAAATTCAGAGCAGATTTAACAGTTGCCAATTTGCATTCAGTAAGTCTATTGCAAGTATTTTCAGAATAAATAAAGTGGGGTATTATCCAGCCTCCATGGTTTGCTGTCTGCTAATGAATCACCATGTTGCTATCGATTAACAGATAAAGTGAGCTTTAAGAGCACAGCTGGCATTTTATTCTCCTCTTACCGCAGGGCCCCTTGTGCTTAATTGTGATCTGCTTTTTCAGTGCACAAGCAGTGGCCTCCAACTCGCAAGGATTGCCATATGTGCGCGAGTCACTGCCACAGACGGGGTCGTAGATGCTCTGGCACACTTGCTGGCATTCGCATACAGGCATTTTGTTTTTCACCACGCAGGCTGCTGCAAAGCTGCACAACACGTTCAGGCAGGGGCTGGGAGCATGAAGATCTGCAAGAGATAGAAAAAGACAGACTTAGAAGTATACCATGTAGCGTTGGGTGCCAATGGCACCGTTCCAATCGCCCCGTGAGAAGCAAGCAGGGCAAGCGGGGATAGTATTGCATGCTAGTCACACTCTGCCCCCTGGTTGAAGGATGGGAACATCAAGCTGATTGTGCATGTGTTTCCCCCAGAACTGCTTTTAGAGGGCAACTGAACAGCTACTATATATTATGGGCATGCTGAATATGCATTTATGTTAAAACAATACACACACAGTATGTGAGCATTCACAGAATTTGCAAATTGAAAATACTGCTAACCTAAACAGTGTCTCCTATCATGCCATCTTCGGACATTGATAAAAATACAACAATTAACTAATTATATGGCACCGATACAGAATACTTTTTCTTCTTACAGTTTGTGATTTTCTCTCAACTGATAGACAACTGACACAGCCAATGACAAACCTGTAAGGAGGAGAGGCCTCTGGTATGCCATGGAAATCATTGTGATGATTTTTACCTGTTAAAGTAATATTTTATCAAGAGGAACAGAAACCTTTCAAAATAGTATGTGGAGTAAGAGTGTTTATAAGTGTCATCTATATGATATACACAGAATAGCAAACTTGCTTAGTAAATCAAATTGGAACGGGAATATTTCCATATAGTGTATATCCTAGGAAGCTCTGCCCTTAAGTCTCCCTATTGGCAAAATAAATCTGCTTGGATAAATAGAAGTTTCAATTGCAAATCCTGTGAGTGCTAGATTTCTAGCTCAGTTAGAGTTTCAGTACACCCCAGGTAGCACAACCTTGTTTAAGAGTCCAATTAAAACAATAGTTTTGCAGACTTTAGAGTTGCAGACTTTCCCATGTGATTGTGTGACAAGGATGCTCTGATGGAAAGACAACCAGCACTGGACAGGAAGTGGGCATGCATGGCAAAAGTCTGTAATGTAAGGCTCCTTGGAATAAATTGCTAATGTGTTGGTGCAGTGAGCACATTGAGCTTTTCCCATACCAAACAAATTCATCCAAAAATAAGATGGGGCAAAAATAAACACCACCCCATACCATTACTAAATACTGAACATCTAATCTATACCCACTTAGTATACTACACCGCCAAGTGTGGACCAAATACAGTAAATATTACACCTGTTTGTGCAAGCAAAACTATAACAATATCATAGGTTGGAAGCCGATGTGCACATACTGTACCACATTAAATAATGAAACAGCAAATTGTTTGTCTTCCACTCCATTGTATACGTCAGGAAATTATTATGCAGCCAACATTTGGTGATTACATATGGTGTTATTTGAGATATTTGTATTCAAAATCTCCTGGGAAAGTGTGCATTTTTAGACAATAGCACCAAAAGGATCATATTTTGTCTGTGGCTTTCCATAGTAATTTACAGGCAATGCACAAATCAATCTAAAAGCAGCCCTGGATCTCCAACAGATTAAGCAAGCTAAATGACAAATCAAATAACCATTATCTTGCTATTCATAATATGGCACCAAACACAAAATGGCTACCATGAAATTACTGCCATCATCCATTTGACAGCCGGGCCAAAGCTGAACCCACCTCTCTGTTCCAATACGGAGCAATACCAGCGAAACATGTTAATATAGAATTAGATATCTCAGATTCAGGTTTCACACAGCAGATAACTGTGTCCTTACAGATCCATAGATCCTGTCTTAGAAAGAGTAATTGCTTTCTTTTCCCTCATGGCTTGACCTATTTATGCAGCCCTTCTATTGCTAAAGGGTCTGCCATCCCAGAAAATTAAAGAGAAAAAAAAACATGGGTTGCTCTAGAAAAGAGTGTTAAGCAACACGCAAAGCCTGACAAGTTTAGAAGAAATAACATCTGTTATTGTTTCATTTCTTCACTCTGGAAAACATTTTTTTCTCTATATTTGAAAAAGTGTAGCCTGAAATTAAAGCTATTGTGAGGGGTTTTTTTCCATCCACGGAGATCCTGGTTTCCATGGCGATATTAGTGGTTGTAGGCCTTTGCTTCTAAATGTAAATTTGAAATGCTTAGAAATTGAAATACAGCAGATCAAAAAGCTGCACAATGCAACATCAGGAGAATTCTTAAACTGGCTTTATAAAATGGCATTTTTTCTCAAATGCATTACATATTCCACGTTTGAAAAGTTGCAGTTTCTAGCTTTTTTACAAATGTTTTATGTTGGGCTTTGGGTTTGTTTTTTTAATCTTACCTTCAAATGCTTACCACTGAGACAATTTACATGCTATCCTTTTTAGGCTCAAGAAAACCATCTTTGTTTCAGCTCTTTCACTAACACATTTAAGCTTAATTTAACTGCAATGATGAGCAAATTATGCTCCAAAAGAAAAAACCTTCTATTCTACGGGAGTATAAACCCCACAGTAACTTCTATGTGTTTCCTAACAGAATGGGCTGACCCTTTTTCCAGTAGGTAATTAAGAAGCAATTTGTAGGCCAGTGGACCAGGAAATGGTAAATTTGCTTTCATAATTTAAGCCTAAAAATTGCAAAAAGATAGAACTTGTGCCAAATTGGTAAAACCTTGGAGGAAGAGGCTTGTATTAAAAATAATTGAGTATGATTCTGTTAGAGTGGTGTATTAATTTGGCAATCTTTTTCAAGCATTTTGAGAATTTTGTTTTTACTTTAGAAATTTCAACAGAAAGCAAGAAGGAAAAAAAAACCAACCCAACTTTAATTGAAAACTGGGGAACTACAAGCTTAGAAATAAATTAAATATAATCTATATAGGTTGAACTCAATCCACTTGTCTTTTTTGAACCTGACTAACTACGTAACAATAAAATGGAAAAAAAAATAAAAGGAAAAAGACCAGCCAACTAACCATCCAGAACCTTTACAATCAAGCCCCACGAAGTTGTAGTTATGGCACACTGCTCTGTACCGTATGTTACCAAATGGCCCTATCATAGTATCACAGGGGTTCCAGCCATGACAGGATCCACAAACAAGGGAGATTTTTTTTTGCCTTTCTTTTACATATGTTTATCTTGAGAACAATCAAAGGTGGCCTATTTTTTATGGGCTAAACAGGTAAGAATAAAATATTAGTTATGTAAGGCCCAAGTTGAGCTTAATCATCCCATCAGAGATCTCCGTTCAAGCTCTACCTACCCTGCCATGAAGTCTAAAGCTGGCCATACACTACTAGATGTTTTTCGTTCAGCCTGCCAGCTAAACAAGGAATTAACTAACATTTCCCCCGCCGAGCTATTGTATTCTGACAGTGGCTGGTGTGCTGCTATGAAAATACCCAAAATGAGAATTAGGACGAGAATTTTCTGCCCGGCTCCTTTGATTTTCAGACTGAATGTTGTCGGGCGGAAGGTTGCCAACAGGGCCACCTATGGAGTGAATTTCATCCGGTTCATCAAGAACCGGACAGAATTCGCTCCCTATATGGCCAGCTTTATCCAGGAGAAATCTCTTTGTATATTCTCTCTATTAAAACCATTATGTAATGCCTGAGGCAGGTGGGTGAACCTAAGATCATAATGCATGCTACCAATAACACAAAAAAACTGGTGGGTGATCGAACCTGTTGGCATCTGATAAAAACCAAGACTTTAAAAAGAAACAGTCTTAACTAGGCTTATATTAGTGATACTACAATTGTGCAGGATTTCCTGTTTAAGATATATATTCCTTCCTTCTTTAGCTTACTTAATTGGTCTGAGACTGACAATATAGCTGGAGTGTCAGCAGGTTTGAGGTCCATTTAAGTTTGACAGTTGTGGTGTCTAACTGCAAAAAATGTGGAAGGGGGGAAATTGTTTCTGAGGCTCGGCATTGGAGAGTCCAGTAACCAGCAGCGTTTTGGTAACCTTTGAACCTCTGGCTGCCATAGCAATAACATATTTCTATCCTGATTGCTTCCTATGAAAGTAGAACTAAACCCAAGTATAAAACTGTAATATATCACAGCTTAACAGTCGTCAGATGTGGTGGCTGCATTTGTTTCCATCTTTTCAGGCAATAGAAAAGATAGAGAATACCTGTTTATCTTGATAGAAATACCATGCCCATGTCACTTGCTGTGAGGTACACTGAGGTGTCACTTGCTGTGAGGTGCACTGAAAGCAAAAACTATAATTTGTATTTGTTTCTATAACCAACTAAACTACACACCCACAATGTAATGGAGATAAACACAGGCTAGGTAGATATTTGTAGTCTCGACTGGATGGCAACCCTAGTTCCATAGATGTACAGGAGGAGTGAACCACAAAGGAGCGGAAAGTGTGTTACTAGCACAATTAGATTATCAGGTCAAAATAAAGGGAAAACAAATCCTGAAAAAAGGGAAAAACAAATGCAACCAACTAATTTAAGGACTGGGGACCTGCAGTATATTACATTTCTGATTCTGGGTTTAGATACGATTTAAAGTCTGAAGAGGACCCTCATATTATTTTTTATATGATATTTGAAGCGGGCCTCTTCACATGTGACTTTTATTCATGCCTCTGAATCAATGCAATTGAATACAAAGATACACTGCATACAGCAATACTTTTTAAATTACAGTATACAGTATGCAAAGTTTTAAATATACAAGTGCCACATATATAACAATTTGCATAGACATTGTATCTAATGAATATGCTCTCTCTCCTTTAAGCTTTTACTGCAGCTCTGCTGTGTATGCAAAACCGTTTTACATACAATATATATGAGACATAGGCAAGGTAGATTTATTAGGTACTATTTCTGATGTTATTACAACCGTATATTTTAAATGACAAATGCTTCCCCTTGCTGCAGAGGCTATTGCTGCTCATGCCACCTTTTCATGAGCCAATAAGCTCAGCAGGGAGATCTTGCCAGCCTTCATATTGTACAGGATCACTTCACAACCACTGTAGATAATAGAATTCTGTTACCCTGTCACATATCTTCACAACGACATTGTGCTGCTGGGGGGTTCGGATTACACCAAAAGTCTGA